TGGATCATATGGTAGTTCTTTTTTAATTTTTGAGGAATCGGCATAATGTCCTCCATAGTCACAACACTATGTACCCTCCCACCAACAGTGCATGAGTGTTTCCTTTTCTCCACATCCTCACCAACAATTATTATTTGTTCTTTTTTGATAAAAAATCAATCTGACAGGTATGAGGTGATACCTCACTGTGGTTTTGATTTGCATTTCCCTGATGATTACTGATGTAGAGCATCTTTTCATGTGCTCATTGGCCGTCTGTAGGTCTTCTATGGAAAAATGTCTATTCAGGTCTTATGCCCATTTTTCAGTTGCATGTTGTTGTTGTTGTTGTTGTTTAACTTTTTACTGTGTACTGGCGCATAGCCAATTAACAATGTTGTGAGAGTTTCAGGGGAACTGCAAAGGGACTCAGCCCGTATCTATTCTCCCCCAAACTCCCTCCCATCCGGGTTGCCACATAACATTGAGCAGAGTTCCACGTGCTATATGGTAGGTCCTTACTGTCTATCCATTTTAAATATAATAGTGCACACGTGTCCATTCCACACTCCTCAACTACTCCCTCCCCATCCTTCCCCCAGCAATCATAAGTTCCTTTTCTAAGTCTGTCAGTCTGTTTCTGCTTTGTAAAGAACTTCATTTGTATCATTTCTTTTTATATTCCACATATAGGGGCTTTTTTGGTGTAGTTTGGATATTAACCCCTTGTTAGATATATTGCCTGCACATATCTTCTTCCACTCACTATGTGGCTTTTTCGTTTGCTGAGAGTTTCCTTCACCGTGCAAAAGCTTTTGAGCTTCATGTAGTCCCATTTGTTTATTTTTGTGTTGTTTTGCCTGAGGAGGCATACTCTCAAAAAGTATTTCTAAGACCCATGCCAAAGAGCATACCATATATGCTGTCTATACTTTCTTCTAGAAGCTTTATGGTTTCAGGTCTCACATTTAAGTCCTTAATCCATTTTGTACTTATTTTTGCCCATGGTGTGAGAGTAGTCCAGTTTGAATCTTTCACATGTAGCTTTTCAATTTTCCCAATGCTGGTTATTGAGTAGGCTGTATTGTTCCCATTGTATATTCTTGCCTTCTTATTTTTGTCTTAAGTAATTTATTTAGTAATCATGTTACACAGCAACTACATGTAGTTTCTATTCTATGTTCTGGTTTATCTAAAAACATCTTTGCCATCCTTGCCCTGAAAGTACAGTTTGGCTGGGTATAGAATTATAGGCTCACAATTAATCTCTTTCAACTTCAAAAATTTTATTCCGTTTCTTTCAGGCATATGTTGCTGTTCAAGACAAGTTGGCTAATAATCTGATTTGTGCTCTGATTTGTTGAAAGAAATTTATGCTTTGTTCTCTGGTGGTCTTCAGGGTTTCCTCTCTTTGATATTCTGAAATTTTACCATAAACCTAAGTGTGGAGCTTAATGGATATTTCTACACTTCTGAAAATTTTTCAGATGTTACTGTTTAAATTACCATTTTGCTGTTTTTTACCCATTTCTTTCTTGAACTTTGATGAAGCTTTATTTTCTATCTTCCATGAGTCTTAAGTTCTCTTTTATATTTTCTATTTTAATAAATTGCATCCTATTAGATTTATGTTGAAGCTTCTCACTCTATATTCCATTATCTTTATTTCTGTCATAATTGTTATTTTTTTCATATTTGCCATCTCTTCCATATTTTCCACACTATTAGTCATATGCAGCCAGTCCTGCTTTGTTCAGGTGAATGCAAGACACTTTAACGAATGGTCCTGTACTTCATTCTGCCTTCAAATTTTCTTAAGTTCTCTTTTGCATTTTCTGTGCCTTTATTAGTTTTTAGCTTTAATTCCACTGGGCTAGATCCTGAAAGACTTAATCAGTTTAATCTTCTAATTCATTTGTGCTTTTCTCAGCTGTGTCCGGTTGATCATTTATTCATCTACTGAGAAGTTCTGGTTTTAATAGATATTTTTATTTTTCACTTCAAATGCAAGAAAGAGTTGTGCCAATGGTGATCCTCATTTGAAAGCAGGTTGCTATCATGCAGTTTTTACAAGGCCCTTACTTTATTTTTTCCCTTCATCCCTGATCTCAAGTGCCATTTTTCTCACCCACTGACAATCGCTCTTTGGTATATAATACACAGAATGTAATTTGGGTGGCTTATGATTCTGGGCAAATAGCCTTCAGTTGAGACTGGTTGAATGCTCTTTAATCTCATTTCCACATCCTGTACACTTCATTCCCCAGCTTCCTTGCAGTTAAGTCAAGGTCCTACAACTACTTCTGGTCAATGAAATTTGGGTGGAAGTGGTGCAAGGTAAAACTGTAGGCATGGGGAAAGGGGTGTGTGGAGATGTAGGTTGCTGACAAGGTATGGGCTACCCACTCAGGAGAATTACTCCAAAAGCATCAGAATCTCCCTTCCAAAAGTGTATATCTTGACCAGAATGACCTGGGTTGGGGAAAAAGCTGTAACTAATTTTCCCTAGAGGACACCATTTGTTTCTGTTTGTGTCTCCAGGGAATTCCTGATTCCTGTCTTTTCTAAATCTGATCCATTTGCTTCTTTTCAATGCTATCAACCTTTCTGCCATTTCCTTCTCTTTGGCTTAATTTAACTCTGGTCAATTTCTGATGGCTAAAGGAAACAATAAGTAATTCCTCTTGAGTCCTCTGATCCTTGGTTTTCCACCTGAAAAACAGGAGTAGTGACATATACCTCCGAGGACTCTAGTAGCAATCAGAAAAAGGTAAGCATATGTGATGTGCACAATACAATCCCTTGCATATTCTAAGAGTTTATTAAATGCAGACGTTTTTCTTCACCTTCACCTTTAGTTAGAACCAACTAAATGCCAGGTTCTCTGTTATTCAGACAGAAGCATTGCTCCTCTGACCTAGGTCTAGAAATCAAGTGTTTCATATCCATCAGTTATTTGAGAACTTCTCTGGGGTAGACCAAGAGGGGAGCCGTCTGGGGCTCCAAGGAGTAGAAAGGAAAAAGATCCAAGGGTGAGTGTGGTGGATTTGCAAGAAATTCAGTTGCTTAACCCCACTTGCCTAAGAGCACATCAGATTTCTCTGGGGAAACCAGCTTTTCCTTACTGTGTTCTCTGAGAGGGATTCCAGAACAAGCTTCCACTCTGGAAACCGAAGGACCAGACCCTAGCTCTCCCTGGCCTGCTCAGCCAATCAGAGCCTGCCTTCCAGGATCTGCATCTTAAACCATCGCATTAGAGTGGTGTGAAGAGAGGTTTCATTGCAGTTGCAGCACCTTAAAGGGGGTGGTGGTGGCCTCTTGGCCAAGCTGTTTCAATTCTAACAGAGCATCTGTTCCTCCTGCTTCTTCTGCTTTGTCCTGAGCTGTCTTGGTTTCCACCCATTCCCAAGGCTGGTTGAAGGGCTTCCCATCCATTTCAGGAGTTCCTCCATCCCCCAGCACACAAACACCCCATAATATCCTCTCACCAAAGCTCCCTTTGCTTAGGATAACCCAGCAAGTTTCTCTATCTCTTGCAAGAAAGACCCCAGATTACTACAGAGAACTTACTCTCTGTCCTCCAGAAGAGCCAGTCGTAGGGAGCCAAGACTGGGAGAAGATCAAAAAGAAAAAAGTTCAGGAAGGGGGAATGGAGCCCAGGGTCAGCTGCTGAGTAGGATCAGACCCCATAGCCCCACCAGACACTTTGCACGGGTGAGCTCACGGCTTCCCACTCGAGTAGACAATATGATCCCTATTTTTCAGAAAAGGAAACTAGACTTCATGGACCTGGGTGTTATGTCAAGAGCTTGGAAAGCTAGGATTCTAACCAAAATCCCTGTAAGATGTTCTTATGCCCATTTTGATAGCTGAAGGATCCACCATGTTTCCAGATGAAAGGTAACTCAGATCTAGTAAGCAACAGCCAAGTGCCAGGCTCTGCCCTTGAGCAAGTACTTCCCATGTGTTATGTCATTTAATTCAAATAACTCTAGGACTGTTTTTCTCTGTCTTTTCAATCACTCTGATGTTGTTGCTGTATTTCAAATCTACTATTTAAATATGGGCATATATAGTACCAGAGGGTGTCCAGAGGAAGCTCAAACGGTTCTGTGCTGTTAGGAAACCATCCTCCTAAGAAATACATGTTGTTGAGTCCATGCATGATATCTTTGGGGCCAGGAGTATAAGTTCCATATTGAATATAACATTTATTGAAGGACAAGTCATAAAAGCATGTGAACTGAGAGAGACTGTGCTTAAGACTCACCATTAAATGCAGCAATTGTTTAAAAACTTAGACCAACAAAAGAACACTTCAGGGAGGACTGTTCTATCACTGACATTGTTTGGAATTGTCAGGGCACAGTGGTAATTAAAAAGCCAACTCCAGTTTGAGTAGCTTTTATTAGTTTGTTGAAATTCCCTGCAGACAATGCATCCCCTTCTTGCCTGCTCCCCCAAGCCCCACCCCTGGTACCTCTTTTCCATTTTGCAGATAATGAAAGTAGGGTCTGGAGGGGCTCCGCAGGTGAAGTCACGAGGACAGAGGGGAGGCAGAATCCAAAGCCAAGGGTGTGGGGATGCCAAGCTCGCCTTCTTTACACGGGTAGCTCAGTGGTAAGGCATCCACCTGCCAGTGTGAGAGGGCAGGAGAGGAGGGTTCAATCCCTGGATCAGGAAGATCCCCTGGAGAAGGAAATGGCAACCCACTCCAGTATTCTTGCCTGGAAAATCCCTTGGACAGAGGAGCCTGGCGGGTTACAGTCCATGGGGTCGCAGAGAGTCCAAGGCGGCGACTGAACACGGACGTAGGTCTGCCCCGCTGCTGCAGGCCTGAAAGCAGAGATTTCTTTCTTCCGGGGGGAGGTGAACACCCCGGCCCATCCTCTCTTTGCTATCTTTGAGAGGGGTGCTCCGTGGAGCACCACGTTACTTCCAGGAATGCACGCTCTTCCTGGAAGGAGGACAAGTTTCCAGAACACAGACACCCAAGAGCAGGGTTCCAGTCCCAGCCCCACCTCGGCGTCCCTTCGAGGGTTCCCTGGAGGCACTCCTGTGCGCGCCCCGTCTCTTCCATGGTTGGACCACGAGGTCCCAGACGGGAGAGCAAGCGGTGAGTGGTGGCCCCGCGAGCGTCCGAGGGACCGACCGCCTGTGACCTGAGCGTCCGCATCTGGGTCCCCGCGTCCGCAGCAATCCTCTTCGAGGATTCTCCAGCCTGCCATCTGGAGGGAGAAAGCCGGACCCGGGGCGCCAGGCCAAGAAAAGCGTGGATGCCGGAGCCTCCCGGGAGCCAAGCGGCACCATGTGTCTGAGCATTATCATTTACACTGAGGAAGCGGGTATTTAGAAAACAGGGCTGGTCCCAGGCACGCCATCTGTGGCCAAGCTTTCCCGGCCCACCGCACCATATTGTGGAAGGCGCCGGCGGAAGGAAACAGCGGCCGTGGCGCGTAGTGTTTGTTTGGTTTGGGGCTTTTGTTGTTTTTTTGTTTTTTGTTTTTCTAACAAATTCAAATGTGGCTTCCTCACTTCGCGAAGCAGGCTGAATGGCCCCGCAAGTCAGAGTCTCTAAAGGGAGAGAAGGATTGAGACAGCGCTTGGTGCTACAGCGGCTCGGGGAGGTAGAGAAGCGCCCGCCCCGGGCTCACCGAGGTCTTGGTCTCTGCCGGGCTCTTGGCTGAGGACGACACGTGCATGTGCATACATATTTTATGTGTACATCAAATTTCTGTAATCTTCACAACAGCCTTAAGTGCTAGATACTCTTCTGTTACTACTCCGTTAGGTAGACATGGAAAGGAGAACCCAGAGAGGGTAAGTAACTCGCCCGTGGCCACACAGCTAGAGGTGGAGCCCAAGCCTGGAAACAGGTTTAATCTGCATCTGCCCTGGCCGTCCTCTGTGGCTCTTCCAGCCCTAAAATACACGGAGCTCACTTCCAGGTCTTTCTGGCAGCCTCCACACCTCATTGGGTCACTCGCTTTCACCTGGTCCTGCTATATTTTGCTCGGGGCACTGATCGAATGTGAAATCATCTTCCTGATGAATTTGTTGTCTTCTGTTGCCCTCACCAGACCATCGGCCTCTGGCAGGTCAGACTGCATTTTTCTTCACTGTGTTTCCTGCAAATGGGGGTACAGCGGCCACCCCATTACTCCAGGTCACTTCCCTCATCCATGTCTGTACGTGGGCTCAATCATGTCTGATTCTTTTGTGACCCCATGGACTGTAGCCCGCCAGGCTCCTCTGTCCATGGAATTTTCCAGGCAAGGATACTGGAGTGGGTTGCCATTTCCTATTCCAGGGGATTGTCCTGACCAGGGATCGTCCAGGGATCGAACCTGGGTTTCTTCTGTCTTCTGCATTGCAGGCGGATTCTTCACTGCTGAACCACCGTGGAAGCCCCTTTCTTACCTATAAACTGAACATAATACCCATAACACACCTGGGCTTCCTCACCTATAAAATCAAATACCTGCCTTCGGGGCTGGGAGGGTTCTTGGCATAGGGGAGGAGTGCAAGGGTGGGAGGCCGCCGTCACATAGCCTCTGAATGTCCCCCCTCCAGACCCTTGTCACCCTGCATTCAAGTATGCTGAGTACCTGGCTGTCCCCCACCTCAGGTGGGGCAGAGCCGTGTCGAACCTTTTTGCTTCTCAGCACATATAGGTGCTCAAGAAACCACCACTGAATAATGACTAAAGAGCCCTCGTTGCCTCTTCCTTCCCTCAGCCTCGGTTTCCCCATCTGTAACACGACCCACTGGTCTTTAAAGCTCTGTCGGGCTCTGACACCCTCTGGCCCAGCTCCTCCACCCAGCCCCTGGGCAAGGGTGATGAGAAGACCTGTTAAATAATGCAGGTCCCAGGGGACTGCTCACCCTGCCCCCCCACCCCTCCCCACACTTGCCAGGCAGCCACCCTCGGGAGGAGCCAGCCCATTAAGGCACAATTATCTCACCACTGTTAAGTGGCTGCAGGAGAAATTGGGTCTGGAGAGTGGCAGGCAGGCTCTGCTTCTGGAGCACATGGTAAAATTTGGTGCAATTAGCAGCGAGGGAACACACATTACCACTATTATTATGTTTTCTTGGCACTCTGGCCCTGTTGCGGGCTGTCTCCTTTCTTTAATTTTTTTTTTTAAGGAAGGGGGAAAAAAATGCTATTTGGGAACTGAAGCAAAATAAAATGCCAAGAATTAAAAATGCAAATTCATCCAAGATGTTTTCTGCCCAAGACGGCAATGGCCACATGGCTCGATAACATTTTAAATGTTAAAAAATGGGTAATTTTCAGTAAAAATCAAATTTGCCAGAGCCCAAGTTTAAACGAATCCCATATAGCACTCGGGCACCCAGCCAATATTCATGAACAACTAGTCCCTTCAGAAGGTTATGTACTATTAAAATGAGGAGAAAACACAAACTTCACATATGCACCACTGGTCTTTGGGAATCTGAAAAGCAAGGGTGGCTGGGTGTGGATCCAACTCAGCCTCGGAGATCTCCCACCCTACTCTCGGTTGTCCTATCTGTAAAATGGACATAAATAGAACCTAACTTTGAGCTTTTTAAAAAAAAGAATATTTATTATATCTTAATTAATTAATTAATTGACTGCTCTGGGTCTTAGTTGTAGCACTCAGGATTTTCCTTACAGCATGCAGGATCTTTTTTTTTTCTTTTTTTTTAAGTTGAGGCATTCCAACTCTTAGTTGCAGCATGTGGGATCTAGTTCCCTGACCAAGGATCGAACCCCAACCCCTGCATTGGGAATATAGTGTCTTAGCCACAGGACCATCAGGGAAGTCCCTGGGCTTTTATTAAGAATAGTAAAACTGTAGTAAACCACAAATGAGGTTTTTTTAATAAACTTTTGAGAAATGGGGTGTTCCTACCATACCCATAAGTAAGCATGTCACAGCCATCCTAGATTCCTGACCTCCAAAAGTGAATTTCTGAGCCCTGAGGGCACCCAGGAAGGAGAATAATACCTGCTGCAATCTGTCAGCCTTTAGGCTACAGCCACTCCCTGCACTTGGGATGTGAAGAATTTCAAGATACTGGTCCCAGACAGTATATACATGAAAGGGATGATTTCACTGAGCCCAGACTCTTGCTTCTCCCCATACAGAGAAAAACACTAAATCTCTTAACCTGAGATATCTGGTTTTCTTTAATTCACAAAAATACTTTTGATATTCAGACTACCTGCCCCTTGTTGCAAATTTCGATATAACCTGACTCCTCCCCCCACCTCCCAGGAGCAGTTCTCTCAGGGTTACTTGAGTTGGTTGGATGGTATCACAGACTCAATGGACATGAATTTGAGCAAGCTCCGGGAGATGGGGAGGGACAGGGAGGCCTGGCCTGCTGCAGTCCATGGGGTCGCAAAGAGCTGGACACCAATGAGCGACTGAAAAACAGCAACAATAATTCGAGATGCTGCCTCCAGGGCTTAAGTCCTAAAAGTGTAAGTGTAAGTCGCTCAGTCACGTCCGACTTTTTGCGACCGCATGGACTATACAGTCCGTGGAATTCTCCAGGCCAGAATATTGGAGTGTGTAGCCTATCCCTTCTCCAGCAGATCTTCCCAACCCAGGAATCAAACTGGGGTCTCCTGCACTGCAGGCAGATTCTTTACCAACTGAGCTATGAGGAAAGCCCACTAAGTCCTAAAACTTTCTGCCAAATAAAGCACAGTTCTCAACTTCTAGGTTGTGATTACATTTTGAAGTCAACACCTTGAACAAATACTGTGCTAAACAGAAGCTTTCAAGGACAGAGATAAGAAATCTTGAGTTCCAGTCCTGCCCAGCCTCAGCGATCACACTGCCCAGGCAGGGGTCTGGATCCTAAGAGATGGTGCGTAAGTGCATTTAGAGAGATGGGGGCTCACTGTGTCTAGTACCTAGCCCCATGATTCAAGGAACCCCCTCTAGCCAGAGGGACCAGGGCTTAAGACAAAGGCAAAAACTCCCTCAGCATCTTCCTCCTTATTTCGTGGCTCAGTTTCACCCACTGGGCAGGACGGGGCTGGGAACCCTGGTTTTACCAGTGGGCAGGCTTGGACTCCAATCCCCCTCTGTCTCATACTGGCCATGGGATCTTGGTAAAAGCAGTAAATCTCCACAGGCCTTGGTGTCCCCACCTGTAAAATGGGGACCACAGTGGACCGCACTGTCGGCACTGTTATAAGGATGACTCACAGAGCTTTGGATCGCTGCTTGGCCCGTGGTAAGTGCTCAAGGTAAGGGGCTGTTTTAGTCACTGTGTTAATGTCCTTCCTCAAAGTAGCTGCCGCCCTGTTGTCCCTGAGTCTAAGAGGAATCTTGCCTCTAACCAAGCTTCTCCCCCTTAGATGGCAAGCTAGGCGGGGACCATTCCCCAGTTACTGGGTCCTGGTCAGGATCCAGGTGGACACGGGACGGGTGCCTCTTCCACCTACCTCGTGCACGTATGCTAAGTTGCTTCCGTTGTGTCTGACTCTGTCCGACCCACTGTAGCCCACCCGGCTCCTCTGTCCATGGGATTCTCCAGGCAAGGATATTGGAGAGGGTTGCCATGCCCTCCTCTGGGATCTTCCCGACCCAGGGATCGAACCCACATCTCTTATGTCTCCTGCACTGGCAAGTGGGTTCTTTACCACTAGAGCCACCAATTGTTTTAGCCCAAAGTCAGATTTGCCCCCTCCTCTGCCTGGAACCCACCGCCCATCACATCGAATCTTCCAGAGCCAAAACCAGCCCTAACCTCAGCCTTCAAGGTCTTGTTTGCTGTGCACACCAGCCTACCCTCCCTCTCCCGTGACCCCCTGACCTCACCTCCCCACGGCCCCACACCAACCCTCTGCCCCTTTGCCAGCACACCAGTCACCACCACCGCCTCCCAGACCTTGTTCTGCATCCTTAGCTGGAGCTCTCTCCCCCAGGTACCCACAGGGCTCACCTTTTGCTGCCTCCAGGTCGCTCCTCCAAGAGGCTTCTCCCACCCACCTGGGTGAGACAGCAGCCCCACCTGCTCACAGCTGGTCAACAGTCGCCCATCATCTAACAGCTACTGGGGGTCCAGTTCCTTCCTCTCCCACTGCAGTGTGCACTGGGAGGGCCGGGTCTTGGTCGCTTAAGTCGTTGGGGAAAACGGAGTAATCTGCAGCAAGGTGGGCAAAGGGACCTGCCTCATCTCATCAGATTGGGGAAACGCGGGAGCAGAGAGGGAAAGGGACCTTTGAGACCGCACAGTGGGTCAGGGTCAGCCACCTGGTATTCAGTCTATGAGCTGATACACCAGACAGACCAGGAGGCAGGATTCACAGGGCACAATCATGAGG